GCTAATGTGGCTTTAGACCTTGTCAATAATGTTCCTTTGTCCTTCGGTCTCAAGATCACATTTTTAAGAGGGTGCTTTTAGTTTATTTATTTATAGGAGCATCAGTGTATTGCACTAATTCTTAATCTGGGACAAATTGATTAGGACTTTTGTAACCTAAACCACAAAGTTAAATATAGTCTATCATGAATGATATTGCATTGTAACAACAAATCACTGTAAGGATGCAACCGACAATGTCGTCGGTCGAGGTCGACTTTTTGCAGTCAATATATTCAGATGAATTCGTATTTTGCTATTCAAAGTCTATCTACGTCAGACAGTGCTACGTCATGTTACCTGACGTTATAGAAATTTCCAAATTCGCTACGTTGCCTTCCTCAATGAAGAAAATGACCATGATTCATGATCACCATTCATTGTATTTATTATTCGTTTGACATTTTTTGTTTTAAAAGAAAAAAACAATAAAAATCAAAATGAGGTGGTTTTATTAGATGAATTGAACCCCTAGTTACTAATTTATTGGTAAAGGAAAAGTCCTATAGTAGTTATTAGAAAATAATAGCACAAAGCAACAAATTATTTCTGGTATCTAGTTAGCAGGCACCTCGTACATTACAAAACTAGTAAAAAGTGCTTATATTACAAGTGTTTTTTTTATTTATTTAAATAGAACGGTACTTTTACCAGTTACACTGCTCAATGCACTAAAATTAAAAGAAAAGAAAAAAAATACAAAATTTTAATACTTAATTATTATTAGTTACCATCACTCATCCATCTCTTTCGCAAAACTTCAAGAATTCCGACAAAAATAAACTTCTTTCACTGAAAAACACATCACTCTCTGGCTTTGAGTCCAGGAATCGGTTTAAGAGTTTTATTGTGCACAGAAACGGAGATTTGGCTCTACTAACTGTTCTGCAAGATGGCAAATACCTCGTTAACCCAACCCTACATCGCGTAGGGCTAGGCTGACGCACAAAAGCGTCACTTGATGTTATGTAAATCCCAAACGACTTCACTGTCAAACTCATACAGTAAAGAATGTGGTTTCACTTCAGTAGAGCCTACCCAGTGCCTAATGGAAAGGGTGACGCCAATGATCAAAGAAGAATTTCGGGCAAGGTCACCTAATGGATGTTTGCGACCTGTCTTGCGCAAATATCTCGCGCACCACGACGCAGACGCAGCACAGGTGTCACTGTCACCATGTTTGCATTTTCATTTTCCTCGTATTTACATTAAATACATGTTAATTTCAATGTCCTTCTTCACAAAGCGTGTTTAAAGCAAGTAATCCTACTTTAAAATTGTACGTATGTAGTTGTTCTGTTTCGAAAGATTTGTAATTTATTCTGAAGTCGTCAGCTCCATAAATGTTTATCTCAAGTAAAGCTTAGAATTTGATTAAGAACTGTGCTCAAGGCTTTCGGGGATCCGAATTTTTTGTTAGGAAATCATTGATTTATTTTTGAGTCCTTTTCATGTTTGATCGAATTACATACTCGTGTATTCAAAATACTTATTATTTTCTAGTCGGAATTGTTTTTACAATTTTACAAAGCTATTCATTACACGTTTTCCATTTGTAAAGCAATATTAAATCACACAAGCGGTCGGGTATAATTTATTCAGAAGTTATTACAGCAATTACATTCTCGCTTAACATAATTTAGAAATGTCATTTACTAAGCCACATTAGTCCGGCGCTAAGAATTTTAGAAATTACATCGTTTAAATAGTCAGTTCCTAGACCAGCACGTTATGACTGTAATGAAACCTCTTTCTAGGAAGCAATTATAATATAAACGCTTTTCTTACTTGGAAACTTTCTTTAAAATTATATCTTAAGCAAGAGCCTTAAGTTTCAAAATAATTTAAGCAAAACATAGCTCTATACATTTCTAAAAGGTGCTATTTCAGAAGCAAAGATCAATCACGATCAATTCGTGCCACATTGCGCAGTCATAAATCAAGATCCCGCAGTGCGTAGGTTCACTCAGTAAATCACACGTAGAAACAACGGTGATGACTCGTGTGATCGAGTCGTGACAAGGCATATAATACTTCGATCGAAGATCCATTAGTGTAATGAGTAATTACGGACCTCGAGTGATTGTCCACAACAGGACCCGAATCGAAGGCCGGCTTACAACACCACAGATAACATTTGAGCTATAAATAACAGCAATTAGGATAAAGGATATATCTAGGTGCGCGTCAAGGATTAGAACGTAAAGTACATAGGTACATAGTAGTGACGGTGTGACCGTCTGCTCAGTTTATTATTTAATTAATAGATGTGCTATAAACATTTATACGAAGACTTAATTTAAGGAGTAATTAATGTTTAATTTATTGGACACGTGGATTTATCGCTTTGCTATTGGGGACTTTGTTTATATTAATGGTGATTCATCTCTAGACCTTATTCCGAATAGATATTTAGGTTTGGGGTCAGTTTTTAACAGCACCTACCTATACGTTTATTAAATTAGATACGCATTAGATAAGCATAAGAGAAAATCACATTCAACTCCATTTATTGTAAGTATATTAAGGCAGGTACATAATAAGAATAATTAAGAACTTGAAGCTGAACAGAACTTTTTGGTCATTATTTTCAGATTTTAAGGAGGTTGAAGGATATTTGACGGTACAAAAGTATCTGTTTGTAAGTTATTTAATAATTTCAAACAATTTTATTTGAATATTGTATCTATGGCTTAAATCGAAGTGGTATATACAAGCAAAACTCAATTCTATATTTATGCAGTACAAAATTATATTTTTAATAAATGTTAAATAGGAGACATTAGTTCACCATCGATACAAAGAATGTCTGTTGTGTGTAACAGTGTAACATGCTCACTTTTCTCACGATCTAGTCTCGAACGTCAACAACGACATGTTTTGCTCGTCATGATCTAGAATATTCGATAAAAACTTCCAATACTTGCAATGTAACAAGCAATGTACAATGTTGAATGTACTAAGGATACGGAAATTATTTCATACAATAACATATAAAACATAGATATACGTATAACGCCTTCAACGCATGAAGCTACACCTAGACATTAAACTTTGTAAACTGAATCAACATCAACATCCCTTGGACTTACTCTACATATAGTTTGCGAAAAGATTTCCAGTTCCAACAGGCGGATTATTTAGCGCAGTTTGTCTCATCTTTATGCTTACCAGATGGGATGAATGTAACTATATATCGCCTTCGTCCAAATGCCAAAAAATCTGCTAAAACTTTTAGTAATTAACGAATATGAATAAAATCAATCACGCAATCGAAGCATTCGCGCCATCTATCGCATTAGATTTGGATTAATTACCTTACTAATAAAACTAGACTGAAGAGCTAAACTAATTAAATATAATGAATAGCAATAATGATGTTTACCTAACAACGCCAACTCAAATACACGGAGCAATCTTAAATCCTTCAAAATAATACCGACGGTTGCGAAAAACTAAGACATTGCAAAATTCACGACAATGTTCTACGTTAACGACCTCTCGAATTCCTAAATGTAATACAAAATACAATATAATAATAAGATAATCGATTAATTTGCTATCCGAGTGCAATCGATCAATCGTTGTGATAGTTAGAAGCTGATTGGAGATATGTCCACAGACTTAATAATAGTTCGCAGCAGAATAAGCATATCATTTCTAAATTAGATTGCTAAAATGTCTAAATTAAATCCCAATACAATTATTTGTAGGTATATTCGTACCCTATAGTCTAGTCGCGGAGAACATAAAAGGTTACTGGGGCTCCGGCTCGAAGTGCAGGAGTAGGAACGGGGTGGTTTTTAGTAAGTAAGAGTCTGACACTCCCTCCTCTCCTCGCCTCTCCTCGACTCGCCTCACCCAGGCAGGAAAAATCATTCGATGATTCCCCCCTCCCCCCAAAAGTCACTAAGGTCTAGCTTTGGTAAAAGTTATGTAAAAATGTGTGTTTCTGGGCACAATTAATTATACATGATCCCGTCTTGAGCGGATAGAAGTAGTACAACTAACAACGATGATGGGACGTCTCGATATAAGTTCTGTGCAGAGATTTTCATGAGTTCCGATTTTGAAATCCCTTCTCTTCACAGTCTATATTCAGCTCATGGTGATCTACTGTGGGCATGTAGTTAACTAGTAGTAAGTTAGTAGATACTTTATTGCAACCACTAACTTTTAAGGGGAAATCATTCATAATATCGTGCTGTTTTCTTTCCCAAGCACACTTTATTTCAAATAAGTGCATATCATTGCTGATCACAATATTACCATACGCATACAGTCTGTACAAACAAACAAACACACATCTAATCTATGACAAGTAAGCATTGAATACGGAAACACAAATAAGTGACACAATGCATAAATAATAGTCTATTGAAACATTTTGTAGTCTTAGAACATATATAACATCACGCCTTTTATCCCCGAAAGGGTAGGCAGAAGTGCACATTATGCCACTATACAATGTAACACCCACTTTTCACTATTTATGTTATGATTCCCATGTAATAGGGGGGGAGCCTATTGCCATATACCGGGCACAATTCCAAACTCCGTGCTACTACTGAGAATTTTTTAAAAACCCAGTAATACTTTGCCCGACCCGGGAACCGAACCTGAGACCCTTTGTCCTTGCACTTGCGACCATTTGGCCAACGAGGCAGTCGATTTAATACAGCATTGTTCTAACAATGATTATTATACTATAACTAGAATATTACACAACGTAAAGACAGTGTTACCTCTCCAGAATATCTGCAGACAGTTTAACAGATTCTCTGTTAAACTATAGCTCTACAGTAGACAAATCCACTCTTTATTTTTGTGAGTCACGAATTTCATTGCACATGATAGCGAACTAATCAAGCGCAGAATTTCAGTCTCCAAAATTCTACGCATACGGTGATGAACCAAAACTTTCTTATGAAGGTTACTAATGCTCAATAAATTTGTTACAGGTGGTGTAGTCATGGGACTGGGAGACATAGTGAATCTAACAAGGTGATAACAAGCAGTGTTTATGTAATGAACTGTACAGTGTGTGCCGTGACAGTGTTGTGACATGAACAGTGAAACGTGTCCACTACTCGCAACAAACACGTGGAAATGAAAAGAGAAAAGTACAAGAACATCATTCCGGAACACGGGTAAGTTCACACTAAAAACTATTAACCAAAGTTACGACAGACACCTAAACTTCACTCAGTTACAAGGAATTCATATAAACTTACGTCGACGTTACATTTAATTGTCATATTCTGGGTCACGCCGCAGACAATAAAGAAAATCCAGCGCCAGTATTATTTAATGCGTGTAATGTTCAGTGAATCAAAATTTATTATGTTACACGTTTGAGGCGTAATTGTTGCAAAACTACATTGTTTACAAACCTATAACGTAATGGATTTGTGACGTAACTAGTAAACTAAGACTAACCTCACAATATGGTCCACGACAAGTAACGCACGACTAGGTAAAGAGAAACCGCGAAAAAACAATGGCGGCATGCAACACAGACCTCTGTGTGTGTAATCAACATTACGGTATTGAAATATGTTCAGCAAACTTTACTATTGTTCTGTTCATATTGTCTAAATATTTTCAAAGTCTAAAAGCCCTTTAGTCTGACCGTGACCAGAACAGCTCACATGCTCACGGTCATTACAAGAATAGGATATTTAACATTCATTAACGATAAAATATTGATAATTATTATACTCGTTCATATTTTAAGTTTAAACACTCATTAGGGGATTCTATAATTACTGAAGTTGACCTGCAAATAGTTGGCAAACGTAAATAGTAAGGTCATTGAAGTGAGCATGTTGGCGTGAATGTCATGAAACGTTTTGGTGTTAAATTGTAGACAATATAATTTATAGTTCAACAATATCTATCTTGACCATTGTCTTACTATTTTATCAATGAAAATATGCTGCAATAACGTATTGAGTCAGACACATGAATGTAGACAAATAAACTAACTTGCATTACAATTCTGAATTTTAACAAGTTTTCATTCAAGACAAAATATTTGTTTAATGGAATTTAAGTAGTTACTGACAATGTCATTCTGAATAATGGATGTTTCATTAATTGGATTTAAGAAACGTCATTACCGCTAAAATACACTGGCATATTAATTAGATATACTAACTATAAAGTTATAGGTACCTACATGCAGACATGACCAATACGATATACATATTGACCAATGAAATGACCAAGACATAATTACGTATCTACTAATGTGACTTCAAACCTACTCCATTACAAACCAAACAGCTCGAAAACATTGCATACGTACGTGAGAATGATGACTGTAATTGAAAATGTAAATCGCTTTCCTATTCATTATGAAACCTAATGACCGATAACGAACATCGCAACTCTCCAAAATACAATAACTAAACAAAAAGTGAGACTTGGTTCAAAGCCCAGTGTGCCACTGTGCCACTTATTCAGCAGCTGATTTCGTGATGATATAATTGCGCCGGCGCAGTGATGACGTAAATTCTGGTAAAGCCCGGAGTGAGGTGAAAGTGTAAATAACCGCGGACCGCCACCTCGGAACCCTGACACCGAGCGCCGACATCATAGCTTCAATACACAGGTATAGCTGGGCCATGCACGTTGCACATGCCCTGCACCCAACACGGTCAGCATTCGATCAACTGTGACCGAGTTCGCGAGAGTTATACGAGTATTTGCCAAATTGATGCGGAAGTTTAATGCCACGGAATTATAAAGTGACTCAGTCTTGACCTTTTGAGGCATCGTCGAAAATACAAATGGTAATTTTGACACGCCAACACAAGTCCTTCTTACTATATACGTGAAAGAAAGTGTGCTTTCTACTAAAGCACTGTTGCACAACGTCACGCCGACGGCGGCGGTGGTGCGGCGCGCGGCTGCGAGCGCGACAAGGTCGTCATTGTTGACGCACCTTTGTTTTATTTTTGCCATGAATTGCGCGAAGCCGCAGCCCGAGTGGTCATGACCATAACTAAATTATACTTCAACCTCAACTATGAATTTATAAACAAGAATATTTTAGTTACTACTACGAAGCAAATTAAAGATTGCTGCTGCTGCTGCTTAATGTTACTTGGTATATCAATTTGCATACCGTTTTAGCAAATAAGTATTATATAATATCAGACTGTATTCTGAAAGTAGATAGAAATATAATTATTTGAAAGTGAACTTTAACAGTGATTTGCACCGGACCCGCATCAGTCGTGACCGTTTTAATCACTCAACGGAACGCACTGTACCCTGTCCAATGTCATTCGATTCAATCTATAGGAAAATAATTAAATATTTACACCTCAAAACCGCGCAAAACTCCTCACTACCTCAATTAGTTTTATAGAGGTATACTAGTCACCGCTAAATTCACGGAACACAACACAAAAGATACAGAAAAACACGGAACAATTATACTTTAATACATCTTAAGTCAAAATGGGTCTCATTATTGGTATTACTGGAGTTTTACCTGCCGGATCCGGAAGAATGGTCATTATCATTAGGCGTGCTTCACACGCAGCGATGCGGCCGTGGGCGCTGCGTGTGCGCCGGCCTCCTGGGAAGTTCGCCTCGATGCGCAGTGAGCCGCCACGCCGCGCACGCCTCGCCTCGCCTCACCCGCGCCTGCGCAGGAAACAATCACAGATAATCATCGAGCTGCTTACTGACATTAACATTCATCAACGAGCACGAACGTACGAGCTAAACAATTGAACATCCTGCGTCCACTCTATAATCACTCACACCTATTATGTCTTAGAGGTTGCATCTTTATCTCAATGTTGATGTATGATTTCAATTGTAGGTTACCTACATGTATGTCGATGAATGTCTGTTTTGATTGTGTATAAACTTTATGTACTACATTGCCAATGGAAATCCCTCTGACTGTGATGCCACAAGACATTGATGTCATTACATAAATGGTTTCATACATTGAATAGACTCATTAGTTAATGGATTAAAGTTTTTGTTACTCAAACCCACTCATATAAGGTGTTCCCATCAGCCTCTAAACAAAGGTCCAGGTCACCTTTCGTGTTTAAATGTCAAACAACAAAATGTCATCCAATGTTTGATGAACAAGTAGAGAAGACATCCGCAAAACAAGTTTTTGTTTGTTATTTAAGGAAGTAAATTAGTGTTTTGTTTGTTTGAAACAAATTATTATTCAAGTCTTTGTCTTTGCTAAAATTATTTGCCTGATAATACGCCTGGTTTTCCCGTAACGGAGGTACAATATTGTGCTATAACCACATCAACCATTGACGAGTGACAATGGCATTTTTTGTCACGTTAATATTGCAATAATACGGATACGTGTTTGATCCCTACAAAAGACAAAAATGAATTGTTGGAAATATTATTTTAAATTCATATTTTCCCTTACTATCTATTTATGTATTCGCTTACAAAAAAGGATCAGGATCTTTCATATAAAATACTGACATTCAGTCTATTCCGGTTACGACTTGACTAACCCGATCCTAAAAGCCAGAAAAGATGTTTTAGATTTTTTTTTTGTTAATATTTGAACCTTTCAAATATTAAATAAAATCGCGGGTTACTCACGTGAATATGCTTAGAAAAGCTCTACTAGTTTCGAACCACAGACGCTGCGCGAACGTCGCCGCGACCGCGTACACTGCTCATGAGAAAAAACCCCTCTGTGGTTCGAAACTAGTAGAGCTTTTCTCAGTATATTCACGTGAGTAGCCCGCGATTTTAGTTACTTTCAAATATTCACTTCAATCCTTTTGTCTTGCAAATTACATGTAATTCTAGCCAATTTAGTGAAACACAATGGATAGTATGCGACGCCCACTCAGTATTGGCCATACGTGCAAGTGAGAATGTGGCATCCTCACCTTATGTAACGAGTAACGAGGCATTTATGAAGAAAGCGTTGTCAACTGCGCCTTGTACGGACAGCCGATAGCATACCAACTCGATACATCATGACAGCTTTATTATCTGACTTACGTTTGCAATGCAGTCTGTGGAAGAATATGACTCCCGCACCTTCGTACCCAAGTGTTAGACGGAACACCGGGGTGGATTTTAGTCAGTAAGAGTCTGGCAGTCCCATTCGTCCTTCCCCAGGCGGGTCCCCAGGCGAGGGGGATCCATGAGGATGGAAACTTGGGGTCAAAAAAAATTTCGATTCACAAAAAAATCACGAAAATTGTCGTAGCACTTTTACTAGTTCATCAAGTTGTAACTAAGCATTCTTCAGCAACTCATTATTAATAAGTACGTGTTTGGTAATACTTATGTTCGCCAGTTATAAATACTAACAATTCTTTTAAACATCAGTTATTCGCTAAATATTCCTTTTACCAGATAATTTAAATTCAAGTGTATTAATTGACACAAAATACTAATACAAGTTGAACAAAAAAGTACAGGTTGCATAGAAAGTATAAAACACACTTATATAATCCATGACACCAGCGATAATGTTCAAGTTGGAACATCGATTAACCTGCGATGAGCGCATATAATCAAAAACGCACATTCCTGCGCGTGAGCAATCGATATCGTGTTTCAATACCGATTGGTTCCGATATCTTGGTAATTGATTTACCTTATGTATACAGTCCGAGATAAACGAACGTTTTCTTTAGAAATACGTCAGTTCTTATGTATGATAGTCACGATTCTCCCTTATAGTATTCTATGGTTTTACGGCACTCCTTTAATGATTGCCTCGTTATTTTAGAGGTCGTGGTATGTACCTCTATTGGATTCAATGGTCAAGTTGAGAAAAGTATGGTGTAAACAAGTTTTTAATTTTACCTTGTGGTAATTATTACTTTGACAGGATATTTTAATACATGATTTAATATATAATTAACAGCCGGGTATGCAACCAACTCGATCATCCGATCGACTTTGACAGGACTAGGAAACATTTAGAAGTATCGTCGAAATTCTCGAGGACAACTACCCGTGTGAAACTATTACCTACAGGTCAACCATGTCTCCTCAACATATACTATCTTTAAATCTTTTCACAGAACACTTACCGTTACAAATAATGTTAATGAGTTGTTCGCCCACGTAGTGATACAGATAATCTGAAAATTTTGAAACATTTGTATCGTGACTACAT